TTTTAATGGATGATAATGGAATGGTAACCCCACTCACGCTATCGGTATACACCGGCGGGGCACCAGTGAAGGATGATAGGTGAGGATGAAGTAGGTCAGTTACCCCATCATGACGAATTCAACAAGAATTGTTCTCGATGGTTTCCAGGGGGAACTACGTGGAGGTCGACCTAATAAGGCATATTGCTAGCAATGGGGCTGTCAAACTCCATTGCTAACAATACCTTTCCCCCTATGGAGAGGGCTATACGCGGAGTTTTTTTTTTGCGTAACAGAATCCAAAATGAGGATATCCGCAAAAGAACCAAAGTGATAGACATAGCCCGAAGGATAAGCAAGCTGAAGTTTAACTTATATACAACTATATATAACATTATAGCAAAGGGAGAGAGGGGCTGATAGTAATTAGATCTAACAGGCCCATTACTAACAATAAAGCCTAACAGGTAAATTTTTCATGAATTCATCACGATGGGTCAACTGACCTGTTTCATCCTCACCTATCATCCTTCATTGGTGACTCGTTAGCAAAAACCGATAGCCCAGGCGCGGTTTTCATTCCATTTTCATCCATTAAAAAAAACATAGCACGTTAGTTTTTTGCGATTATAGTCTAGCTAAATCTATACCGACTGTCCGAATCATATATGTTTGTATGAACCTACTTCGTCCATCGTATAATAAAGCCGTAAACGTTGACCATGATATCGACATCTTAGTGTACATTGACGCTTATCTGTGAGAGCTGTATACACCTTTAATGGATGTGTTCATATGGCCTTAAGCTTGATAGTGAGGAGTAAAATTTTTTTGTTCAAACTTAGATTTAAGCATTTTGTAATAGTAGTTTTTCTCTTTTACTTACTAATAACATTGTATATTGTCTACTTAATTATTGTGAGCATATTGTTGGTGTGTCTTTTATAAATAAATAAATAGAATAGAATAGAATAGAATAGAAATCATTTATTCAAATAAACTTACATTGAAGCACTTTTGAAAAGTCATTACATTTTTTTTTAATTTACCGCTCGTTCGGAAAGCTGTCTCATCACAAGAAGAACGAGCAAGAAACTTGCGTGATGCTCTTTTAAATAATTTTATTATTATTTTACATTTTTAAGTTTAATTGTGTGAATACAAACCACCAATTAGCACTAATTCAATTAAATACTCAAAAAGAAAAAAAAATTGAATACATAACCAACTGGTTAAACAATTAATAAGAGGAAATCAGTCATAGTGATTAGAGCAGACCAGTCCCTACAAGCAGCACCCGTTCACGAGTATGACGGATGAGCCAGCCATCACTGCGCACGACCATATTTTAGGGAGCCCAATGACCCGGCCCACCACGCCGCCACAAGTCTGGACATTTTAGTGAGCATGACTACTCAAAACACTAGACCACGTCAAAGCTACTCACAATTGCCATCTGATAGTTATAGTATTCACATTTTACATAAGAATGCATGCGGCAATTAATACAAAAAACCGCTACGCTTTCATATTTCTAAAATTAATCAATTAAATCAAGAAAGCAATGAGAAAATAAAATTATAACGTTGTATGCTAATAAACTAATTATTTACTTGATATGTTGTCATCTATGAATTCGTCTATCCTGTAATAGGCTTTCTTACATAAAAATTGTTTAATATAAGATTTGAATTGCCTCTCTGTCAGATTTAATGCAGATTCCGGCAGTTTATTATAAAATCTTATGCAATTACCATAGAATGAATTACTGATTTTGTGCAGACGGCATTTAGGTAAAATAAGCTTATTTATATTGCGTAAGTTTCTACTTGTACAGTCTTTGAGTTTTTTAAAACTCGCTAAGTTCTTCCGTGTATACATAATATTTTCATAAATGTATTGTGAAGTAACTGTGAGGATATTTGAGTCTTTAAAGCACTGACGTAATGACTCTCTCGAACCCATACCATAAATAGAACGTATGGCTCTCTTTTGTAAAACAAATATAGTATTTATATCGGCTGCTTTACCCCACAGCAGTATGCCATAAGACATTATGCTATGGAAATAACTAAAATATACAAGTTTAGCCGTCGCCACGTCTGTTAATTGCCTAATTCTTCTAATTGCATATGCAGCAGAACTGAGTCTACTGGCCAATTTTGAAATATGGGGCCCCCATTGTAATTTCGAGTCCACTGTTATACCTAAAAAAACTGTATCATTAACAAAATTTACTATTTCGTCATTAAGCAATAACTGTGTATTTATTAGTCTTACATTAGGAAGTGTAAATTTTATACACTTTGTTTTGCTGGAATTTAATAATAGGTTATTACATGTAAACCAATTTAATATTGCAGACATAGCACAATTTACATCGTCTAATTGATTACTTTGATGATAGTTTGTTAAAACGAAATGACTGTAGATGTATGCGTAAAAGCAATGACTTTTTTTAAGTATTTAATATGTTTCGCAAATCTATTTATAATTCTGTATGTATTTACAAAAAGAAAGCCGGCCCGGATATATCGTCTTTAAAGGAAAAACACACCGCGCCGGACATCCAATTATGAGACAAACATAAGACGATGATGATGACAACAGCTTTATTTATTTTGGTGACATTCAATCGGTTACCTTGAAAACTGATTTCAAGAAGTTTTTTTTTTATGCAACTTAGAATGGTAAACAAGCTGACGGCCCACTTGATAAAAAGCGGTAACCGTTACCTATAGACATGAACAGTACCATGGACATAACAGAGTACTGTTTCGCCCATGATACCCCCCCTTTGTTGCCATTCCTGAGAACTCAGGTGTTATTCCTCTGTACCCAGTAAATTCACGCCATATCCCACACTTCAAAACGAAACACAGCCATGCTAACACAACTGCTTCGGTGCATTTGATGCGACAGGAACACGAATGGGACAGAGGTTCCTAAGGAAACGACTTTTGTTCAGTCTCCCTCAGATAAATTTCATAAAAATTATTTAAAATTCTACTATTTTCTACAATTTATTTGAAATCATGCATTTGAGTACTTGACAAAGTATTAATATATTATATACGAGTAAAAAGTAAGTGTAATTTTAGAATTATATTGGACTATTATATATATTTGTCCAAATAATAGTTAATTAATATTTAATTTTTATTTCAATAAATACTCATGATTACAATACAGAAGTAAAAGTGGCTCATACTGGCTCTTTTTTCCTCCATTCGTATCCTTTCTTCTTTGAAGTATCATTATTCCCTTATTATATTCAGTTTTCAATAATGAGTTATTATTATTTTCTTCTTCTCTAATGGTTTGATTTTATTCTTTTCTTAGTTTGTGTACTTTTATATTGAATCAATAAAGTTTTTATTTCTTTTGTTATTACGCCTTAATAGAACACTTCGTGGTGAACGATGAATCCGTCGTCAAGCACATCGCGTAGTCTGTGCCCAGGAAAAAGAACTCATAGGGTCTCTTTATCTAAAGTAAAGTCTACAAATATCTCAAACCACAGTGCACCATAATGATAATGGATAAATTTAACAAGTTGTTAGTATAAGCACAGATGATATAGTTATAAAATACATTGAAAAGTGTGACGAGAATAAGCAAATTGGCTTATGATTATACCTTTTTTTTTATTAATTTGAAATTTAGATTACAAAATAAATTAAATGTATTTTTGTGTACATTAGGGCTACGAAAGGTTACGTGGATCGTACAATATACTAGTGTACTCGTATATCGTGGTGCGTAACGGTGTCAATAGTATTGAATGGGACACACGATGTCTGTGTTGCTTGTGTGTGTCTGTACAATGTGATGGGAGCTAGAACAAAGCTCCGGCAAACAATGCTACCGTAACTTACTGAAATATTATTTATTGTTGTTGCTTTATTGGTTATTATAACGTACTAACTACTGTCAAATTCTATGTGTTCATTCTGGAAATTGTTTAAAAGAGATTTTTGTGCAGTGCAGTTTTTGTGCAGTGTTAATGCAGTGCAGAAGAAGCAGCTCTTCTAGGTAACATTTGCCTTCATCAAATTGTTGAATGTCTGAGTCAGAGAAACATTTGATCGGAGGATTGAGTGCATTCATTAGTCATTATCGCCTCTTTATTATTTTGTCGCTTAATTCACTAAATTATTACTTATTGTCTTATATTTAATATGTTTGTTGAAGTCGACAATGCAAGTATCAACAGGGAACAATGAATATTTAATTAGAGTCACGTACTCACGTCCTACAACGGCTCACTTCCACAAGAACTTCCATTTGAGGTCTCGACTGTTATTTGTTGCTTCTATATATCCGAATTGGGGCCAGGCGTCGCGATGTGTCAGCGATTGTGGTCGTTAATAACTATTTTATTCTAACTCATCAACATTCATATTGGTATCTTGAATATCAGCGAGAATGCGAACTGTAAGTACGTACTGAGCGGAGCAACGACCGTATGGGAGCTGTCAGCGAGAGCGCCACAGTCTCCATCTAGCGGCGTCACCGGCGCAACTGCCTTCTAATGGTGATCTTTCCCATTACGAACACATTACAAATAAGAATGTTGTTTGTTAGTTTTGGGATATTTGGCATTATCAGTAACTGCTACAGGAAATAATCGAAGATTTCTCTTATCATTAATACCATATATGATGATTTCTGCCTTGTTTGTTGTATTATAAACAAAGATTCATAACAAATGGATACATACACGTTCCTAAGAATCGTTCAATAGCCGCAATCACCACCAATAGCATACTATAACCGGTATTTAGGCAATTTGTATACATTTGTGAATAATTAATAATTTATTAAAAGTAGGTAAGGATCTAAGAACCAAAAGGAAAAGTGTTTGCGCAGCTCTCTCGAATCGGCCTCGATCCCGGCGGAGCAGCAGTACATGGCATGCGCGGGCGCCGGCCGTGACGTGTCGTGTTTGGCATTGTATCTAAATGCTTCACTTAATAACTTCCCTTTCAGGTGTTCACACATCCCTACGAAGTACTCACCTTAGTTTCTTCAAATTCGGAACGTGTCACTACTCTGTCTTGATGTTTTATACAACACTCGCGGCGTACTTGGCGCCACAACGGCGGCTCGGAGTACACTGAAGGCACGCTGTATGCCGTAGCGCGCAACCCGCCCCTCTACCTCGCCCGTACCTGCGTGGAACAGAGCCTACACAGACACAGGTGTGGCGGCGAAGCGAAGGCCTATGAGCCTTTGGATTGGGAGGGGAAATTAGCGCGCGGGCGAGCGCGGGCGGCGGTGGTCAGTCTCGGATTGTGCGCCAAACTGAACGCGTGTCATATACAAAGCAAGATATGTCGACGAACGGGTCGGCGGCTACCGAGCCGCGATTGTGCCACGTGCGAAAATCTCCCAATTTCGACGGCTATGGGTTTAATTTACATGCAGAAAAGGGTAAACCCGGTCAATACATCGGCAAGGTCGACGAGGGATCACCAGCGGAGGCGGCGGGTTTGCGACGCGGAGACCGCATCCTTGAAGTGAACGGAAACAGTATCGTCGGTGAAACACATAAACAAGTGGTGGCACGGATTAAAGAAAGACCTGATGATGCCGAGTTACTGGTGGCGGCGCCGGCTCCTGGTGACCCGTTGCCCGATCTAGATGCGCCTCCGACGGCAACCACGCCTGCGGCCGAACGCTCCTCGGCCGCTGCACGGCCCGAGCAGCGACAGGACAGCCCACCGCCGGCGGACCCGCCGCGGCTCAACCTCCAGATGACCGCAGCAGAGATGCGAGCGCATCTCGCTGCTAAAAAGAAATTCGATCCCAAGAAAGTACCGATGGACTTAAAGTCCAAATTTGACATCGTCAAAAAACTGTGATTTTGGTGTGCCGTGTGCTGTGTATCGTGTTTTGTAGTTACGAGCAGTTCGCCGTGTGTCGTGTGCAGTGTGCTATACAATTGGGCCGTGATTAGTGGCGGTCCTCCTCGTTCCACCGCGCCATCGTCCCTCGCGTGCTGTTGTTATTGATACACACTATACATATTACAATGTAGCGTATTTGTACATAATGGCCATATTGATGTAGTTACTGGTTCTCCTGAAGGTTGTACCTGCGCGCAGCGGGGCCACGGCCCGCTACGCCGCCCCGCCCCCCGCGGCGCGGCCCTCGCTCGCGGACTCGCGGTGCAGGCTGTCGTGAGCGCACGCGCAGCGTTGCCAGCTCTCGCCGCCAGCGCCGCGGCACCGACAGTTTCTCACACGATTATCACATAAAGTACACAAAATGGAACTATGTATGACATCAATGGCGCAAGTGAGACGCCAGGTCGTTTGCGGCAACTGGTGGTGCTAGTTGTCGTACGCGCAACCTGTACCCGGGGCCGGTACAAATGTCTGCTGCCCGACCAATGATTATTCTACAATAGATATACAAAACATGTATACAACTCGCGATTGTACGATAATATAGCTATTGGGTGCCGAACCAATAATGTAAAATAATGCCTATTTTAAATTGCCATTGATAAAATATGTACATAGCTACCTAGATACTATACGTTTAATGGTAAATAGCAGAAATATATTATATTTATTATATAATGTATATGAAAATTGTTTGAATTTTAATTATTTGATTTATCTAAATGTGTAGTTTAGAGTTACTTACCTTTATAAGTGCAATCTATTATTGTTGAGTGATCGATAATAAAATAAATAAAATGTCTGAACAGATTTATTGTATAATTTAATGCATTTTTATGAGGATTCAGGATTTGTGCCAACTACGTGCGCGCGTCCTGTGGACGAGTCCTCGCACCTGGCCTCGCAAGTATTCGATAATTATATATATTTCATCTTCGTTTCAATAAAAAGCTAATGAAAACGCAAACAACCGAATAATTGACACGACTAAAAGACCCTGGCGATGCCTAATAGTAGTACCACAAAAAATATATTACTACGTAGTACAAATCAAAAATTAATTGATTGTTTAATGTTTGGATTTCATACCAATTTTTATATTTTTAAGAGAATGAAATTTTTTTTAGGATAATTTCAACAAAGCTTGATTACTTTTTTAACCGACTTCAAAAAGAAGGAGATTCTCAAGTCCTTTATTTTTGTTTGTTACCCCATAACAATGTCGGTTAAACGCCGATTTGGACAATTCTTTTTTATCTGAAAAATTATATATTTACAAATTCGTACCATAGGAATTTTATCAAAATCGCTTCAGTAATTTACTTTTTTTTTTGTGGGACACAGTTTTATGTTATAAATATTTTCGAGATATGTATAATATAAGCACAAGACACAACGCAATACATAGTGTACGTAGTAGTAGGTATGATAGTGGACAACTTTCCCCGATGGACCCGGCACCTACTGATAGCAATCTTTAAAACTTTTATACCTAGGCACCTGATGAATCGGTCACGTGAATGCGCGGTTTGCATAAAACATATTTCTTTTTTTTGTATTGTTAATGGTAAAATGGGATTTCTTCCTTTGAATATAATGTTATTATGTTTTATAAATACAATCCTTGAGTATTTTCTATTAATTTTTTATGGATGATAATGGAATGGTATCGCCTGCGCTATCGGTATAAGCTGGCGGGGCACCAGTGATAGATGATAGGTGAGGATGAAAAGATAGGTCAGTTAGCCCATCGTGACGAATTCACGATAAATTAGTCACGATAGTTTCCAGGGGAAACCGCGTGGAGGTCGACCTGATAGGGTATATCGATAACAATAGGGACTAACCTCCCCATTACTAACAATTCCTTCCCCCCGAACTCGCAATGGGACTGTTAGACCCCATTACTAACAATCCCTTCCCCCTACAATTCCTGAGTTTGGAAATCTCGGTGCTTTATATCTCTGTATACAGTCATAATTAGGTTACTCGTTTATCTCTGTGCACTTACATAAAATATTAAAGTATGTATGCATAAAACTCGATACTGAGTCCGTACTCTGGAATGGCAACGTATTTTTATATATTTTGAGATATTAGTGACATTGGGAAGGATTCTAAGGCATCATTCCTCTAATCGATCTCGGAACCTAACATTTAATTTGGTAGTTTTGTAAAATTACTGTTTTATGGAGTATTAGCTTTTACCCGAGATTCCGTCCGCTTGTCCGGGGCACGTTTACTGACCGGGATTTATCAGTGTTTTTTTTTCACTTACGATTATTAATTAATTATGTCATATAATTCTATATTTCTATATGTCATATATTTCTATTAGAATTTGTAACGATGGACTAACTAACCTGCTTTCATTGTTATCTATCATCTCTCACTGGTGCCCCGCCAGCGTATACCGATAACACAGGTGGGGACACCATTCCATTATCACCAATTAAAAATCTTAGGTTTTTTTAATGGATGAAAATGGAATGGAATTATACCCTGTCTTTGTTATTAGTTTTTACGCTGACAGAGTACCAGTGAGGTGAGAAACAGATCAAGGTCAATCCAATTGGTACCGCGTGGAGGTCGACCTGACGATGTCGAAGTGACAGTACATATATTGCAGCAATAGTGTCTTTGGTTCCTGTTTTGTCCACAACAATCAATAAAGTCGTGAGGATACAGAATAAATCACATTTAAATAAATGAGGAATAAATTAAAAACCGCAATAGTCATAGTAAGATCTTGATCTCTGATCCAGTGAGCTCAGTTGTATGGGTGGTGACAGCGACGGTAACGGTGACGCAGCTCACAGCAGCAGTGATTCACACAAATTATCGACGGAGCCTTGAGCGTGCGCGACCGTCCGACACGACACGACCTACTATAATATTTTGCAATATTATATTTTTTCACAATTCTAAATTATCTTCACTGCAGTCGTTGATAATTCTTATCTTTGAGATATTTCCAGTTTCAAGAATTCAAACGTACATACAAACAAATACCGAAAAATCACAGTTTTAACAGATAAAAGTACGTGTATGTCCCTGCGTACTCAGGAGAAACTTGAAAAAAATAACAAAACAACTCTATTTTGTCACCATTTCAACCTGATGGCTACTTTTTTTTTATTTCTTCTTGATATATCTAGAGATCATATCTTAATATATCAACCTATTTCAGATAAAAAAAGAGAAATGGGAGAGCGGATCTTCTTCACATGTAAGTATACATCTCGAGTCAGTTCCCTTTACTCTGACTGTCCCTGGGGATTATAATCCGTGGATCTTTACCCCGGCTCTTTGGTTATCTACTCCTTCTTTGCGAAATACCGTTCTTTAATCGACTATTTTTGATTGAATGTATCAATAACAATTCTTATTTTCACTGTATCGCTGTATTTAACCATAAAGGCTAATTGTACCGATTACAATATTGTTTTTCTCGAATCACAAAAAGTGCTGCGAGGCGAGGTGCGTCGTTGGATCACGCGGTGCAGGCGCACTCCGTCCCGCATCATGTGCCGTCAGTGTTGTGAGACGTCGCACGGTGGTGGCGGTGGCCGGTGGTGCGGCCGGCTGCCGCGTGCTGCTGTGGGACGGCGCGGCGCAAGGTCGTGTACAATGGACGTCCTTTATGGAGTCATTCATGAATACGAGTATCACTGCGATTTGCGGCACCTACATTACGTGCCGCTTAATCTCAGTTATCAACATACTGAATGGTTCTTCTGTTCTTATGGGAATTTGTATGTCTATGGTTGTGGACATTTCATGAATGACGCTTAGTCAGTCACTTAGTGATGGTACTAGTATCACCACAGATAGTATATTATACTATCTGTGGTGGTGTAAATTGCGCAAAGGCGATATCTATTTAACAGACTTCAAAAAGGAAGGTTCTATGTTTTTTTTTAATGTATGAAAATGGGATGGTAACTCCGCCTGCGCTAATACTCGTATACGCGTGCGAGGTATTAGTGATAGATGATAAGTGAAGATGAAGGCAGGCCAGTTGGCCTATCGTGAAGAATTTGACACGAATTAATCACGATGGTATCCAGAGGGAACCGCGTGGAGGTCGACCTGATAGGGTATATTGCTGGCAACGGCTTTCCTCCCAAATTCTATGTTTGATTATATATATTTAGAGCAGCAGTGTTAAAGGTTTAAAAATGATTTTTCTTTTCTCGTGAATATGAATGCTACAGTGCGGGCGGCTGCAGCCTATAGGTACAAATTATTTTTATTAGTTTTGTTATCTATACAGCTCAACTAATCGTTTCAAATCTAGTGTACTATACACGTACCTAGTTTTTTTTAATACAGAGAAGAACATAGGTCATTTTTATCCCCGCCTCCATCACGTGGATGAAGTTGTGGATTAAGGATATAAGAGACGAAAGTAACAAGTTGTTTGTTTGCTTCTTACTTAATAGAGCCTTGACAGCTTAACGAATTATTATAAAGTTTGATATACACGTATTATATAGAGATGGAGAAGCATATAGACTACATTTTATCCCGGTCAGTAAATATATCTCAGTCCACGGCTGAAGACGCGGGTAAAAGCTAGTAGGTACATTATATGAAACAACACTGTAAATAAATTGTCAAACATTGTAAGGTATTTATTTGATCTGTCAAAGCAGTTGTGTTTGCATGGTTGTGTTTCGGTTTAAAGGTTGGGTTATGGCAGTGAATTTTTTTTATACTACTGAGGTAGTCCACCTGATGGTAAGCGGTTACCGAATTTACAGGGTACAGAAACAACACCTAATTCCTCTGGAATAGCAACGCATGAAGAGTACAAGTATCATGGGCTAAAACAGTATACTCTGTTATGTCCATGGTGCTGTTCATGTCTTAAGGTGACATGAGGTGCCATTTTCCAGCAGGTGGACCGTCAGCTTGTTTGTCATTGTAAGTTTGATTAAAAAAATTGTAGTTGTTTAAGTTTGTCACAAAATTATACAAACATTAAATAACTGAATAAGTCATTATGTAGCCAGTGATTGTTATTGTTAGTGATTCATAAATATGGGATGCGATAAATGAATCACTAAAAACCCAGCATCAGATATTAATTAACATTTGAATTGAAACATAACGTAAGTGGATACACCTGGTAACTAATGTAATCATAATATGTACGACATAACTAATTACTCGTTATCTTCAATCATTATCTAGTCTATCAACAGTACATCTCTACATTATTACTATTATAAAAATAATAATTTGATGTATGTACCTGTAATACTATTTTAACATTTTCGGTGCAAAGATCAAATTGGTAAATTGACATGTGTATGCATAATGATATTATTATATACAATACTTACAAGTAGACCGTATTACAGATTAAGTTTGTGTTTGTTCTGACTTCACCTAAAAACTAGGTCACCTACCTAGGTAGACAGAATTTTGATTCACAGGTACATATGTATACAGTTGTACTGCTACTCCAGCGTCGCACCAAATCGTATTCTGAAATCAAATAACACTTCATCAATTGATTACAGTACAACGCTGCTGTGCGTGCAGGCAGGCAGGCGGGCAGGCGGGCAGGTCGCGACGTAATCAAATGAACGTGAACAGCGGAAATCGGCAACAACGCGATATCCAGCGGCCTTGTGCTCTCGCTGTGCGGTGCCTAATGGCTGAGCGTGTAACAATGGCCACTTGTACATTATCTACTATCACAGGATCCGAGCGCAGCCACAGCATCGGTGGCGACACGTCATCGCCGACGGGTGTTCTGCATAAACGGAAAGAAAATACATAGGAACACTGGGAAGCCA